AACACTGCTAGTAATTCAGTATGTTACGGGAGTTTAAAAAAAACTCAGACATTAATTCTCTAAACATGATATCCTAGTGGCATTAAAACCCCAAAACATACTGAAAAACCAGTTCAGTCCAAAGATCTGGTTCTATGGCACAAACAGAGTAATATAGTAAATGTCAGGAGGACTGTGATCAGTTATACATCGGTGAAACAAAGCAGCTACTGTTCAAAAGAATGAGCCAGCAGGCCAGGACTCTGCAGTTCACTCTCATCTACAGGCCAGCGGTCACGCTTTCAGGGATCAAGATGTTCTCATCCTTGATAGAGGAACATTGGTTTGAAATCGAAATAATGAAATTGTTGAAAAAAATTGTAGACTGTTGGTTTTAAGAATAAAAAGACACTTAAACTGTTTGAGCACTTGTATCAAGTATTTATTATTATTACATTTGTTATTTGTGGTACTTCTGTAAATACCTAAAAATGAGTCAGCTAGTTTACAAGAGTAAAGTTTGGGCTAAATCCCTAATATTAAAAACTAAGACGATCACAAATCGCTTCCAAGTCGCTCAATTTCGTCAAGAAAGAAGTCCATGTCTTTGAATGAAACAAGTGGGGAAAAGACAGTCACACGGAAAAAGTTGACCATGTCTCCGAGCGGCTGATAGCCCACCATCAAAGTGCCTTGTTTCATCATACGCTCCTTGATTGTTGGAGCTACCTATTAGCAAAACACAAATATCTGTAATATTGAGAAGRTTATAGTGTCTTACAGTGTATTTCAACCCTGGTCCTCRAGGCACACTGCCCTGCATGTTTTAGAGGTTTYCCTACTTTAACACACCTGGTTCAGATGACTGCAGTTCAACAAAAGAGAAGGGRTTGACTGCTGCATCAAAGTGGGCGTGTCACAAGAGTRRGCGTGTCAAAAGCATAAACACTGTGGGCTAYGAGRCCTACATGACGGTATCCTTAGACCCTGCTTCATGTCTTTACAGCYTRACSCTGACCCCAACACTAAGGTTAACCAGGAGAAGTGTGACCCAAGTGTTCTCCAGAAAAAGTGGTGCTGTACAGTAATGCCCCTTTTCTTCTTGTCCAATCAGGTGGTGCCGTACGGTATCGCCCCTGTTTTGCTTGTCCAGTCAGGTGTGTCCCTTTAACAAAGTCTGTCAAATCAGGTATGTCGCTTTAGAATCGCCTTTCCTTGTGACGCCCACTCATCCGCAGAGACCCCTACTTGCAACAAAAGCCTGTTAATCAGTTATCAATTGAACTCAGCTGTGTTGAAGCAGGGAAACATCTAAATCATGCAGGGCAGTGTGCCTCGAGGAGGACCAGAGTTGAAAAACACATAACAAACAAGCTCTAAATAAGCATGTGCGAAATATACTGTATATATA